TTAGTGGTTATAAGTAAAGTGGTATGGTTATGAGCCAAAGAGTATTGATTATGAGATATATGACTAATGGTTATAAGATATGTGATGTTAATTATGATCAAAGTGGTGTGACAATGAGCCAAAGGGTGTTATGAGATATGTGATTACTGGTTATGATATATGTGATGTTAGTTATGAGCCAAAGAGTGTTGGTTATGAGATATATGGGTAATGGTTATGAGATATGTGATTGTTGTTTATGAGATATGTGATTTTGGTTATGAGCAAAGTGGTGTAGTTATGAGTCAAAAGAGTGTTTGGTTATGAGATATGTGATTATTAGTTATAAGATATGTGATATTGGTTATGATCAAAGTGATGTGGTTATGAGCTAAAGGATATTGGTTATGAGATGTAGTTATGAGATACGTGATTGTAGTTATGAAATATGTGATATTGGTTATCAACAAAATGGTGCTGGTTATGAGATATGGTTATGAGATAAGTGATGAGAGCTCATAACTAAGTTATGATTAATTTGATTCTAGTTATGAACAAATATTCAAAGCCACAATATATATATATATATTTTTTATTTTTTTTTTTTTTTTGCAACGGTACGTATTACGATCGCAAAAAACTTTTTCTTTTTTTTTTTGACTACAACTGGTACCGTCGCAAATACTCTTTTTTTTGCGACAGCAATTTCTATCATCGCAAATACTCTATTTTTTTGCGATGCCAAGTTATGTCGTCTCAAAAAGTCACATTTTTTGGCAACGGCAAGTTGTGCCGTCTCAAAAAGTCACATTTTTTGCTTGAGACGGCAAGTTGTGTCATCGCAAAAAGTTCCGTCTCATAAGCCCACTTTTCTTGTAGTGAATCGTAGATAAAATTTTTCAACACATTTTTTATTAAAATTTAGTCAAATTATTTATATGTATGTCTATGTGTATATAAATATTTTAAAATGTATATTGTTTGTATATTACCCTTTTTATTGTATTTAGTAAGTAAATCTAAAATAGAGATATGTGGTTAGTGGTTTTGAGTTGGTTATGATCAAAGTTAGGGGTTATTGGTGAAAATGATGTTAGTTATAAGATGTGGTTATGAGATATGTGATGGTGGTTACGATCAAAATGGTATGGTTACGAGCCAAAAGGTATTGGTTATGAGATGTGGTTATGAGATATGTGATGTTAATTATGATCAAAGTGGTGTGACTATGAGCCAAAGGGTGTTATGAGATATGTGATTAGTGGTTATGATATATGTGATGTTAGTTATGAGCCAAAGAGTGTTGGTTATGAGATATGTGGGTAATGGTTATGAGATATATGATTGTTGATTATGAGATATGTGATTTTGGTTATGAGCAAAGTGATGTAGTTATGAGTCAAAAGGGTGTTTGGTTATGAGATATGTGGTTATTAGTTATAAGATATGTGATATTGGTTATGATCAAAGTGATGTGGTTATGAGCAAAAGGGTGTTGATTATGAGATATGTAATGTTGGTTATGAGTCAAAGGGGGGATTGGTTATAAGATGTGGTTATGAGCTACATGAGTAGTAATTATGAGATATGTGATTAATGGTTATGAGATATGTGATATTGGTTATGATCAAAGTGGTGTGATTATGAGCTAAAGGATATTGGTTATGAGATGTAGTTATGAGATATGTGATTGTAGTTATGAAATATATGATATTGGTTATCAACAAAATGGTGCTGGTTATGAGATGTGGTTATGAGATATGTGATGAGAGCTCATAACTAAGTTATGATTAATTTGATTTTAGTTATGAACAAATATGATTTTGGCTTATAACTATAAAAAGTGACCTGCTTACCAGGTCACTTTTAATGATGTGGCTCAATCTGAACCATTGATTTTCTATGTACCGTACATTTTTTAAACAGAATGTACTATAGACTTTCCCAAGTTTCATATCTGCACTCAAGATTAACTTTCAGAAATCAAAAATCTTTATGTCCCCAAACCTTGATCTTAGAAAGGCTAGAGATCTCAATGCTAGATGTGGTATCCCACTAACATCTAATCTAGAAAAATACTCGAGTGTCCCCCTTTTGAATAAAAGAGTAAATCGGAGCCACTTTAACTACATCCTTGAAAATTGCAAAATGAGTTGCGGGGTGGAAAATGAGTGTGCTTTCAACGGTAGAAAGAGCTACACTGGTTTAATTTGTTACTTCTGCTATTCCTACTTATACTATGCAAACTATGGAGATACCTAAAAGAGTGTGTAATGACATTGATAGGATTAACATAAATTTTCTTTGGGGTTACCCTAGAGAAAAAGAAACTTCACCTTGTTGATTGGAATAAGGTGTGCAAAAAGAAGAAACATGGTGGCCTTGGCATCAAGAAGGCTAGAGACTATAATCTAGCCTTACTTTTGAAATTGGGCTGGAAACTCATGAATAATGAGGGAGGCATGTGGGATGAGGTGCTGAAATCTAAGTATCTGAAAGGTAACCATTTTCTTGACTGGAAGAAGAATAGCAGAGCGTCTCGTGTATGGAGAGAGTATGCTGAAATCTAGAAGTATCATAAGAAGAGGTGCGAAATGGTCATTGGAGACGGTGCTAATTTTAACATTTGGAAAGATTGGTGGTGTGGGGATAAACCTATTAAGGAAGTCATTCCCTCAACTTCTTTCATACCAGCCAATATTAATGTATCCAAGGTAAAGGATATCATTAATGATGAACGTGATTGGGATGTGAACATTATTAATCAAACTTTTTCCCCCAATTGTGGCTGCCTCTATTCTTAAAGAGAAATCCCCTAAATGTAATATCAATCTGGATCAACTTGTTTGGAAAGGGGCTCCTGATGGAACCTTTTCCACTTCAAGTGCTTATGAGTTGGCTTCGAAATATGATGGCAAAGATGAGGATTGGCAGTGGTTGTGGAAAAAGAAAGTCCCACAAAAGCTAAAAGGCTTTCTGTAGACTATCTTACATAGAAAACTTCTTACAAACCGCATGAGATTGAAAAGAGGTCTTTCAAGTAACTCTTGTTGCCCTTTTGCAATGAATCTGAAGATCTTAATCATCTTTTTAGATCCTGCGTCAAAGCTAAGGAAGTTTAGATTGTTGTCTAAAATCAGCAATGGTATTTGGAGATGATCAATGAAGCTTGGTTGCTTACTCTAAAATGAAAGATAAATTTGGTGCAAAGTATGAGTGGCTGTTTTCATGGTTACACTGGAAAATTTGAAAAAACGAGAACTTAAAAGTTTTTGAAAACCAGTTGTCCAGCCAATTTGAGAGTCTGAAATTTATTTTAGATTACTCCTTTGAAATTAATCTTGCTTTCAGTTTATCCATTATCAATCCTAGACCCCCATTTTGACTAATTAAATGGTCTCTCCGTCCTGCAGATACTCCAAAACTAAATACGGATGGAAGCAAATGTAGCAGGGTACCAAGTGGTTTTGGAGGTCTCCTCCGGGATGAGAGGGGAGCTTGGATTTACGGCTATTGTGAGAGAATGGAAAGTTGTACCAATCTTGAAGCAGAATTATGGGTAGTGTATAAAGGACTCACAATGATTCTCCAAAAAGACTTCAACAAAGTGATTGTGGAAACAGATGCCCAAGAAGTTGTAAAGCTGAGGCCCTAGTGAGAAACACTCTTACAAACGTCTGGTGGAAGATGCGAGGATAATCTTTAATGGATGTCAATGCACTGCCCAACATGTGTTTCGTGAAGGAAACCTCTGTGCAGACGCTCTAGCAAAATTGGAAGCTGAACAACCTGAAACTATCCTAGGGAGTTGTCAGTTGCACATACGCAGGGATGGGTAGGGAGTGGGCTTAATCCCCATTTGCTTTGTTTTATTCCGATGTATCCAAAAAATAAAAAATAAAAAATTTAACTTTTGGCATCCCAAAATTATGTCAGAATCGCAGAAATCATGACTTCAAATTAGGATTGGAGCTGGATTTCTTTTATTTTTATTTTTATTGAAACTTGGGATATGAAAAATTACAAATTTATGAAAGTCCAAAATAGATTTATATGAATTGACCAAATGGGCTGAGATTAACTTTTGTCTCTCATTAGGTAGCCAGTTAAGTGAAGGCATCCAACGTCATCTAAAGTTATTCACCACGTCACACCCAATACCTGCAACGATTACAAAATTTCAAATATATAGAATATATTCGTTTATTTTTCAATTTTGCTTTTATTTGCAGTCAACACCACACATGTTCAAACTTGTTCACCAATCTTATTTGGGCATAATTTTAAGATGTTTCAACAAATTCTGTGCCCCCCTCACACATAACATAGAAAATTAATTAAATATTTAATTTATTTAATTAACCTTGAATTATAATAATGATTAATGTTTTGAAAAATATTGATTATTGCACTTATAAAATTTTAAATTAAAATGTATATAATTTTAAAACACTTCAAATACACAGAATTACTGTGGTAAATTTGAATATTATGGTGATAGTACTAAAAAAATAAAATATACCCGGCCTAGAATACGCCAAAATATATCAATTTAATACCATAGCATGCTAAAATATAATATTGGCACGAACGAAATAATATAATCTGCTAGGGATGGCCTAACATTTAAAAGTCGTTCAAAAATCACCATATGGATTACCAAATAAATAAGGGCAAATTACATATACCCCCAAGATTTAGCAAAATTACAGATACTCCCCTAAGATTTGAGAAATTACCGATATCCCCTGAAGGTACTATTTGCATAACAAATTAAGAGGCAAATTGTTATGAAAATATAAACCTCAAGGAGCAATTTGTTATGAAAATATAAATCTCATGGGAGTATCTGTAATTTCCGAAACCCTAAGGGGATATCTGTAATTTAACTAAACCTCGAGGGAGGTATATGTAATTTGCCCAATAAATAAAGAGAATTTGAACATGCATTGCATAACCTAAGTAAATAATTACCTAATTGTATAATGAAAGAAACTACCAAAAAGTTGACAGCAACACATAATAGGATAAGAGCCATTCCATCTTGCCAACCATTGACCAATAATAAAACTAGAATGTAAACCCCACCATAAATATCAACACCTATATACATTATCGTAACATATACTAAAGCATTCTAGGGTTATAACATGACAAAATCCATAATTTTAAGTCTCAACTATCAAATGAAAAACTCAAATCTAAATTTGCATAATGTATGTCTTGCATGCAGAATTATGCATAACCGATGTCTCAAAATTGCCTTCTTATCAGCAATAATAATTTGCAGCCATGGGCGGCACAGAGGGGACCTGACTGTTTCCATTCTCTGCCATGGGAAGGAATTTCTCGCAGTCTTTTGCCCCGATTTGTGAAAATGTTTGCACAAGCAAAGACATATGGCTAGCCAATGTATCCTTGAAATACTGCGAGCAGCTCTTGTCACCTGCATCAAGATCCTGAACCCCGCCTTTCACGAGACACCCCACTTGAGCACCATCCATGTACGCCTTGCATGCCACTAGAATATCTTGAGCACGTTTGAAGAAATGTCCAATGACGAAGTCCTCAAAATGCTGCAGCCAAAAACGATTTCGAATTATGAGATCATAAATGCCCAGAGAATGACCCAAAAAAAAAAAAAAAACGACCACAAGTACTCTATCCAAATGCACATGCGCATTGAATTTAGTGAATTTTTTAAAGATTTTTCTGCAAATCTCAAACAAAGAGCAACTAAAAATAAATTAAGATATTTATAACATAAAACTCAATACATGTTCTAGCATGAAACTATGTTAAGACTATCAAAATGCTGAATGTTGAACAGTCCTGTTTGTCAATTTTGGTAACACAGATTGGAACTTCCAACTATTTTGTCTTTCCAACGAACTATAAGAAAATACAGCCTAATCAAAGCTTTTTAAAGGTTTTCACAAAGCCCTCATTAGCCTGAATATCCTACCCATTGAATGTATGCAAAGCACATTCTTATGTGTTCAAAACATGAAAATCCAAAATCAATTTGTTTCTTCTCCAAACTAGAAACAATTTTATGAGAACTTGTAAGTTGAAAAAAGAGACTGTCAATCAAAGATAACCTTATTTGGTAAACATAAAATGGTTAAATAATGCTTCGTAATCAAGAGAAACAAACTCCAGCTATTCATGGGCATCTGTAAGACTCATTTGCACTAAATGAAGGGATTACACAATTTTGATGTTCCCCAAAATTGCCCTAAGAAAATTCAATTATATACTGTTCAAGAAATTTCTATATTCATGTGCTAAAGAGGCAAATATGGAAACTTCCACTTCTCCCAAAATTCTGCAACTGCTTTAGTTTTTACTTCAACTCCTTTCCAGTTTTTAGTTGTAATAAAATTTCCTGTGATTTTCAATGCACATGTATCGCATAAGCACGCCCTCTTGTGATATATAATTGCTTCATCCAATAATAACAAGCTTTTCTCTTGGAATCTCCAAGAAGAAATGTTATCGGCATGGTCATTATAACATTATCCATGGGGGATGAATACTAAGGGGGTGTTTGGGAAACTAGTTTTGAGAATAGCCTCAAAAACAAAAAAAAGCCCAAAAGCCTTTGAACCAAAAGTTTTTTCAAAAAAAAAAAAAAATAGGCCGGCAGGAAACTGTCACTGTGACAGCCTACCACTGTCACAGTGACAGGTAGGGAAATTACAATTTTGCCCCTTTGAATTTATTTTGAAAAATGTGAAGTTAGGGATAAATTTGACATTTTAACTTCAAACATCATTTCAACACATTTTTCAATCCACCAACTCAAATAAAAATCCATCTCATCTTCCCAAACACAAAAACTAAAATAACCTACTAAAATAGCCAAAAAGCCTCTAAAGTAGCCACTTTCCAAACACCCACTAAGTAAACCAATCACTGAACGAAAATGGCTCATAACAAGCACAAACTATTGGCAATAAGGAGGAGCAACAGCAAACTAACCTTTGGTGGCCTCCTCATGGTGTACACCATTGTTTTCAGCGATAGTATAAATGTATTTTCATTGTACTGCTGAGAGTTCTTTTCTCCGTTTGCAGATCCACTCATTCTAGCAAATCCAGGCTCATTGAAGTAGGGCTTTGCATTCAAGATTATCCCCTGTATGGACACCAGAACTTGTAGCATGGTCGATACACCCGGGATCCACTTTTCATTTTGACTACCACTCCAGGTGTTAAGAAGGCTGAGGCATACTTTTCCACAATTATACAAATTTGGATTGATTCGAAGACCACCAGAATGATAGTAGACAAGCTGACACAAGTAGTTCCCTAGTTGTTAGAAATATGATCTACTATAAAAATATGTAACCCCAAGCACAAGCACACTAAGAACCTTGCTTACATACCGGTGGGACATTCGGATAACCACTAGGGAAGAAAACATCAAAGAAGAAGAGACCATCATGGTAGGGAGTCCCCTCCGCTCCTACAATTACAGCCCTCAAAAGGTCCATCCTTGATTCGTAAACCCTGACAAATATTGTATCTACTCCAGTGACAATAAAATAAACAGAAAGTGAGAGACAAGTCCGAATCTATAAATCACCACTGAAAAGTTCCACAAAAAGGATGAGCAAAAATGGAAAGCAGTGGAAAAAGAGAGGCTGGGGGGTAGGCACCAGTAATGGTAAACCCCATCCACATGCAAATGAAAACCAATTTATTGTATTTGTCTACCCAATAAACAACAATAGGGGTTCAGTCATAAAAAATAGCCCCAAAATCAGGCAAAACAATTGATTATTAACAATACCAATATAAAAACTTGCCTGGCAAATCTTTCTCAAGGATCCTCCACTCATCCTGTATTTTCTTTGCCCAATTCTTTGATGGCTGTCAAAAGAAAGTAAATCTATGTAAGAAAAAAAAAGTTACCAGTGTCGGTCCCTTTTAATAAATTTGCTTAATGGGGTTAGAGTGGACTTTGGGAAGATGATTAGCCTTAGCATTATTTACCCAAAGTGGCTGCTCTCAAACTCCAATCCATGTACTCATCAAACAACAATTTGCTACATAAATAAAATAAAAAGAAATAAAAGGAAGGCATCTTTTATGTGTACATGCCTGCTTCACTGAAGAACCTTTGCTAGAATACTGATGGTCCGAATGATCAGGAACGGTATCAAATTGTTTAAAAAGTTCGAATTTCTTCAGAATATCATCTTCATTCCCATATTTTTCGAGGTTAGATGTTGACCCAAGTGGGACAGTTGAACTTCCTGCAGCAGTCTACACTTCTTTTTGATCTTCAGCCAGGATCCTGGGATCCCAGGGGGCCTAAATATAACATTTTTCCAGAATAGAGATGCACAGCATCAGATGAGTTATGGATACCATCACTAATAAAAGGTGGTTGGTTCATAAACGCAGGAGAACCCTGCCATCCAGACATATATGCATCTACTCCAGGAGGAAGACTCATTGTGCCCGTTGCTGGAAATGCTGAAAAGTTTGGATTACCATTACCAACGGGCTTCTTACGTCTGTTGCGAATATGAGATCCCCTACTAGATGGGTCCATTCCAGAAGAGAGCTTCATAATGCCCGGTTGCTTAAGTGAGGTATAATTAGTTGTACTACCAGAAACAGGAGGCTTCTTTTTATTGTGCGAAAATCCTGGCATGCACCAAGATTTAAATCCAGATGGAAGATTCATTGCACCCTTTTCTGTTTGTGAACTCAAATGAGTTGAACTAGTTGACTCAGCTGCTTTCTTCTTATTTTGAGCAGATTCTGGTAATGACCAAGGAGGAGACAGCACCACCCCATAAGGGTGACTCAGAGTGTCCATTTGGGTTTCCAAACTGGAACTGCTCATGGAAGACAACTTTTTTCCAGTCTGGGAAAGTTCTGGTAACACCAAAGAATATGATGGGTGTGCCCCGGGGGAATCCAATTGGATCGAAACAGTTGAATGGTTAGAACTGCCTGCAATAGTTGGATTCTTTTTATCCTGGTCATGATCAGAGAACCAAGGAATGGGAGCCTCAACTCCAGGAGGAATATCCATGCAATCAAAATGGGCTTGCAGAAATGTATATTTGTCATCATATGTTAAATCATCATGATACATATCCATATACTCATCATCACCGTAAGAAAAATCATGACTGAAACCTTCTAAATTAAAAGAATTAGGCGGCCCTGGGACAGAGTTCTTCTTAGAAGACTGGACTCCACCCACTGATGCAGGCTTTGCTGAATTACTATGACTATATGAAATATCGGCCAAAGCTTCCTAAAAAGGGAAGGAAAAGTATTACTCAGCGCATTTGCTCTATGATAACTAAATAAGCAAGTAACAACAGCAGCTAAGAGGGGAACCAACGATTAGCTAGGATATTTTACAGTATAACAGAAAAGTTAATTACAGAAGTAACTATTGAAAACCTTTTATTTACCTTCCCTTTGTTATGTGTATCAACTTTCTCATCAACAAGCATAACATCTCCAGAATCTTCATCCATGTCAATATCAATTACTTCATGGTGAAAAACCTACATTAAATCAGTTCCTTCAGCAATTAAAAAATTTCTAAGAGAAACAAACTTCCAGCACATACAAACATCAACTCAGGTACAATACTAACAATGATGCAAATCCAGATGAAAAATCACATCAACAAAGGCAACCATATGTTATATGGCCTCATGTACAGGTGTCGGGTGTGGGTATGTATCTAGAGGTCGGACTCATCAAACCATAAATTTAAAGATACGTGGACTCGGCAAAAAAATGTCATATTTTTATATTTTTAATCAAGTATGTGAGATAAAATGGTGCAATATATAACTTACGGTATCCAAAAAACAGTTATAGCAATTATACAACAATATGTACATATAATCATTGTGTTATATACAATTATATAAGAAGTGTCCGTTGAAATGTAGCTGCCACACATCCCATATCCTTGTCCGAGTGTCGAGTGTTGAATGTCTGACACTGGTATTTGATTTATTTTGAAGAGTCCAAATATCATAATTGAGAGTAAGTGAGACAAATATATATATATATATATATATTTAGATAAATACATATATATAATGTTGAAAGCAACAGGCCATCGATTTTCGGTCACAATCTTTCAACACAACATGTTAGTGAGCAATCTACGAGTATCTACTAAATGAGATCACATAAGTAAATAAGGAGTCAATCAACCAAAGGACCTCAAGGTTGCTAGAGAAAAGAAAGCAGGGAGGCAGTTTATAAAGATGTTCAAACTCAAGACATCATACAAATGTGAAACCAATCCCTATTAAGGTTGCGAGAGATTTCCATAGCTTCTTTTTCTTTAATTTTCAAGTGCAATGAGTGGCTCCAGTTTCGGTCACCGAGCTATATGGATGTTGGCCCAAAGGACGTACCTGGAAGTCCAGGCAAGCCAGGAGCACTACTTTATGCGTTAGTATTTGGGGGGAGAGGACAAGTGTACCTTTGTAGATGTAGACCACAAGGCAATTTCCTGATTTTTTTATTTTTTTATTTTTTTTTTGACTATATAGAAGATTTCAACTTTTTAGAAGCATCTTAGCTTTTGTTAGCTCCTATATAGTATAATCCACTAGAACAATATCATCTATGCACAAGATATAACATGGGACATCATCCCAAATGTGTTTAGTTAATTTATCCATGACTAAGGCAAATAAGTAAGGACTCAAAACTTACCCTTGATGCAACCTTACAGTGATTGAAATTCGCAAGTTTCTCCTACAGGTGATCTAATCATAGTCACTAAAATACATGTCTTTTATCGCATTAACATACCCTTTGGTTACTCATTTTTTTCTCCAACACCCACCATATTACATCACTAGGCAACCTGTCATAAGCTTTTTCTAAATAAATAAAATCATATATAGATCCCTCATTTTCTCTATCCATTTTTCTATTAATCTTCTTAATTAAAATATTGCTTCCATAGTTAATCTACCAAACATAAATAAAAACTCATTCTCTGACACTGTTGTTATAACCCTTAACCGATGCTCAATCACTGTCTCCCACAATTTATTGTATAACTTAATACCTCCATAGTATTTGCAATTTTGGATGTCCTTTATTTATATATATAGGTATTAAAATACTTTTTCTCCACTCGTCACACATTTTTCTAGTCATTAGAATCATAAGAATTTTATTAACCAAGATACACCCTCTTTTCCTTACCTAAGCATTTCCAACCCTCAACTGGGATACAATCTGGCCCTAATCCCTTACCTAATTTCATCTTCTTCAATGCAAATTCTACTTCAAACTCTCTTAGTCAACAATAAAATCTATATACTCTAGTTCCAACAACACTAACATATTCCTCTCTTCCTAAGTTTCCTAAATGTTTTTCATTTAGCAGATTATCAAGATAACTTTTTCACCTTTCCTTAACCTCTCTCCTAATCTTTCACTCTCTCAAATCCTCACTTTCTATACAATCACACGCCATCCTTGCATAATACGCGACAGGTCTGTGTGGCACTTGTTAGACACCCAACTAGTCCATCAAAACAACTCATGGTATTTGGAAAGGCAAACAAACACAAACAAGCAAAATAACTAACTAACAAGCAAAAACATATGCCAAACAAGTGACATCAAAATGAAACACTTTATACATCTTTACGAGCTATTACAATGCATGAACGAAATACATTTGACACCCTAACACAACCTTGATTGGGGTAAAATCTATGAAGCACAGGTACTCCAAAATGGGCCGCGTACAAGTATCGGATACGGATACGCATCCGATACGCCAAGATATGTATTGGATACGGCATCCCAATTTTTTTTATTTTTTTGAATTTTGGATATGTGAGAGATATGTTCCGGGTACTTTTGAGATACAATGGAGCAGAAAACATAATTTTGAAAACTTTTTTTTGGGTCAAACCGTAAATAAAGAAGTTAAATTGAAAATAATACAAATCAGATCCTTCAAATACACATACGCAAGAACCAAAATCAAAAAAACATAAAGAAGAAGAAAAAACCTAACCTCAATCCACAAATCAAAGAAGCATTGAAGCAAAAATCTGGTTCCTTTTCTCTCGATCGATTGACCACAACGACAACAATAGAACAGGTTTCTCTCTCTCTCACTCTCGTTCTCTCTCTCTCTCTCTCTCTCTCTCTCTCATTTTCCTCTCTATCTCTCACTATCACGTAGGGGTGAGCCGCGGATATATCGATCCGCCAAAACCAACCGAACCAATCCGCCGCATTTTGGACGGATGCGTGATGACGAACGGACGGTTGCGGATTGATTTTCTCCAATCCGCCAATCTGGCAAACGGATGGCGGATTTGAGATTCCTTTGGCCGCAACCAAACCGCCAAACTGCGAGCACCCCTAGTAATTTATAAGACTTTGTGTTTTTAGTTTGTTTAAATATTCTATTTGTATTTTCAATTAAAAAAGAATTTAAATATTCTATTGAAAAAAAAATTTCAACTTAAATATCTTTTTTGAATTGAAAAAAATAAACGTATTATTTATTTATATTTTTTGGTTTTTAAATCTATCTCTAAAAATAATAAATAGAAAATATGATATATGCTGGTTGGTTTTTATTTTCAAAAACAGATATAGATGTAACAATATAGAGACATACAATCTCTACTACTGCTTTGTTCATGATTTTTGTGGTTTGAATTGCTTTTATATTTTAAGAACCACAAATTGTAATACTTTATGTGGATGAGACATGCTGTAATTGTAGTATGTGGATGAGGCGTGCAGTGATTGTGATATTCTAAAGTTTCAAACTTTCTTACTTTGGATGAGGCATGCAATGATTGTAATATTTTTTTAAGTCATTGACTGTAATACTTTTTTTTTTTTTTTTTTTTTTTGAGGAAGTGCACAAGTTGAATTATGTTGAAAATTTATAAAATTTTAAACCGCCAAACCGATTCGCATCCATCCGCCAAACCGTCAATCTGCTCAATCCACATCTGCCGAATTAGCGGACAGGTGCGGATTGATTTTCTCCAATCCGCCAATCTGGCGGACGGATGGCGGATTGGAAGTTCTGTGGCCGCAACCGACCCGCACCCACCCCTACTATCACGTTTCTTGATTTCTTTTTTTTCCTTATCTATTACATTGCCGCTGCTTTATTCATTTTTTTTTCCCCCCTTATCTAATGGCTTCTGGTTTATCTAATAGGCTACTTTATTTAATTTTTTTTTCCCACTTTTAGTTTTGGATGTTTTATGAATATTTGAAGACTCCTAGTTTAATAGGAATTCCTCTCTTTATTTATTAATTTGCTTTAGGTTTTATTTTCATGCATATACATTATTAAAATTATAAAAAATATTTTTCACAAACGTATCTCCAACATACCCGTATCTTACTTTTTCAAATTTTGACGTATCACTGTATCCATATCGTACACATATCCTATATATGTATTTGTGCTTCCTAGGGTACAATAAAGGCGCAGGTAGTATGGTTCAGCACTTGAGTACCCCGTATATCAGCATTCTAAGCTTTTGGCTAATTGGCAAGAGAAAACATCGATTAGAACAACTAAGAACTCATAATGTCTCCTTTATTAATCATCATAATTATGGAAGCTTTAGTTGAATGATGGATAAGGCAATACGAGGCTTCATGGAGGGTTTTAAGCTGAGCAACATGGATAAGTCATTGCTATTAACATCTCTCTACTATTTACAAATGATACTATCATTTTATTTTTGGTCGTATGCAACACAATGTGATTATTATTATTATTTTTTTATTGGCACCATAGTGTCCGAATCAAAGCCTAACTAATCCCCAAGGATGTACAAGCTTTCGGTACGGAGTTTCCCGCAAGTGCATCACGGTTAATTCAAAAGTTTTCCCCTAGTCCAATGGCCCTAAGAAATTGTTATCACCTAAGAGATTTCGATCCCTGAACCTTGGAGGGAGCACACCCCCAAGACCCAAGCCCTTGGAGAAATTATTTGAAGTGTGCGCTTTGTGTTTCGAAGCGTTTTCAAGCCTTCAAGTAAATCTTAAGGAAGTCAGAGTTTATTATTGTTTAAGAGGTGCCTAACATTAATTAGTTAACAATTGTTCATGGTTGTTAAGTGGGTGTGGTAGGCTTACTCTAATTAAAGAGTAATTTATTGAGCGTAACTTCACAATTTATGTTTTTATTCACAATTCTAGCCTTTGTTGCTGCGAGGGAATTTATATCGGGCGGTATCAAAGAAGAGTTCAAATACCATTTTGTAGATTGGAATGTAGTATGTACTTTGATTAGGGAAAGGTTTGGGCATTAGTAATTGGAGATCTTCAATCACTCTTTATCAAGGAAGTGGTTGGAGAGGTTTTCTTGTGAGTAGGATAGTTAGTGAAAAAGGTCGTGATAGTGAAGTACGAGTGTAGTTGTAGGGAGTGACATTTTTGCAGGTCAAGATGCTTCATGGAGTTAATGTGGAAAGGGGTCTAAAATGTTAGGGATAGGTTTGATAATTAGGGAGAGGGATAAGAGTTATATTTAACCCCCAACACTAATTTAATGCTTCAAGATGAATAAGGCAAGTAGGCAAATTCTAAGTTAAAATCTTGCCAAATAACAATAATAGGTTGGTGTTGTTTAATAGGGCATTGTTAGGGAAGTGGTTTTGGCAGTTCGCTTAGGAGCGGGATCATTTGTGGCACAGGGTGGTTGCTATCAAGTATGGGGTGGAAAGGGGGGATTGGAGGTCAGGAGATATTGGGTCTCATGGTCGAGGTTTGTAAAAGGGGGTTTGGTTGGGAAAAAGGGAGCTTTGGGATAGGGTAAAGTTTCGAGTGGGATCAAGGAAGAAGGTGTTGTTTTGGAGGGATAGGTGGTATGGAGAGGTTTCTTTGGAGGTGTGTTTCCCTTTGATTTTTAGTATTGCTATGGATCGGGAGGCTATGGGTGAGGATTATTTGGAGGTGGACGGTGTGGTGGTGTGGGATATCCAATTGCGCCGTCCTGTTCAGGATTGGGAGGTGGATCAATTGGAGGAGTTGTTCAGCTTCTTGTATGGGTTGGGGATTACCGATAGGAGGGAAGATATGCTAGGTTGGAATGTTGCGGGTACAAAAGTTCAATTTACTGTTTCGTCATTTTATCGGAGTTTGGAGGGGGTGCTAGAGGAGGCTTGTCCTTGGAAGAGTATATGGGTATCGGGTGCTCCTTCTAAGGTGATTTCCTTTTATGGATAGCTTTTTCAGGACGGAACCTTACTATTGATAATTTGGTTCGTCGTGGACATGTGTTGATCAATCAGTGTTGTATTTACTATGCCAATGCGGAGTCTTTGGATTACTTGTTTCTCCATTGTTCAGTGACTTCGAGGTTGTGGGGGCTTATTTTTTCTATTTTTGGAGTTGTTTGGGCGCAGCCAAGGGGGATTTTGGAGTTATTGTGGAGTTGGAGGGGGTTTCAAATAGGGTGTCATCGGTGCCGGGTTTCGTTGTTGGTGCTATTTTGTTTGATGTGGTTGGTTTGGTTGGAGAGTAATTGGCACACTTTTCGAGAGTTATATCGGAGTGTGTCGTGGCTTGAAAACTAATTATTAGTTACTTTGTATAGTTGGTTGGAAAAGAGGGGGGAATCCGAATTTTTTTGCTTTTTTAAACCTTTTAGATGATGTTATTGGTTAGGCATTTTTTAGATGTTTTCTAGTTGATTTTAGAGAATTCCCATATTGGGATCTTTTGTATTCTTTTACATCATCTTGATACTTTCTCAATAAAGTCTTATTTATTTATCCAAAAAATAAAATAAAATTTGGAAGTAGATTCAACATGGGAACCAAGAATCATCAAGTCAATGTCAAATAAACCAATGTGTATCCTCTAAAATGTGCACAGAGCTCCAAGATAAAGTTATGATTCTTATTTGTTTTTCGCTCTTTCTTTTAATGTTTGTTTTGTAGTATTTTGGTGTGTTTCAAGCTATGATTGAAACACAAACACCTCTACAAAGGCAACGTATTGGCGTCCGACATGTGGTAGACACATGTCGGACACTCTATGGGAGGTGTCCCCTCTTTTTTTTTTTGAATTTTTTGCAGTCGGACACGTTCGGGACACGATTCTGAACAAAACCCAAACCTGTTGGTCAACAAAGAGAGAGAGAAGAGAAAGAAAGTGAAGAAGAACTAGTTGAAGCCCTAGAGCGAGGTATGTCCTCCTTCTTCTTCTTTGCTTCGCTTTTCTTCTTCTTTCATCACTTCGAAGATCCTCTCTCTCTCTCTCTCTCCCTCAGATCGTTTCTCTCTCTGTGTTTTTCTTCGTCTCCCCCTCTTTGCTTTTCCCTCTCTATTTTTCATCTCTCTTGCAAATCATCTCTCTCTCTCACCGATCGTCTCCCTCTCTCTATTTTTGTCTCTCTCTCGCTTTTTATTTCTCTATTTCTTTTTCTTCTCATGAAAGATTGAAAATATTTTTTTATAACAAAAACCATACTTTTTTATTTATTTATACCTGAGACCCTCTTTTTTCCCTCATTTTATTTTCTCTATTTTTTATTTTTAATTTTTTTCAATTTTACACATAAAATAAATAAATAAAATTATATACATTGAATGTATCCCCTGCGTGTCGTATCTCGAATTTTTTAAAATTTGCATGTCTGCGTATACGCGTTATGTCCCGTATCCGTATCCGTATCCGTGTCTATACTTCATAGGTTTCAAGCCTTGTTTGGGAAGAATGGATTTTAGTCAAATAGCCAGAAAGCCATATAAATAAATCAAAGATTCATTCCCTTCTCTATATGTTTTGTTCCTTTTTAGTAAAAAAATTTTTTAAAAAAAAAAATTACCAAACACTTTAATTTTTTTCACCTCATATTTTAGCTAAGAAGTCCACTTTCCAAAGCAACTCTCAGTATATTTTAGTGAAAACAGTATAATTTATGTTTTTCTACAAATGTTTTGGGTCGATTTCCTAGGAGGTGAAGCACTTCTGCCATTTCTATGGAAATAAAATTGAAGTTGCAAACTCTAGAAAATTGGGTCTCGCACTGTTGGAAAGTATTTCATGGGATAAGAACATAAGAAAGAGTTTCGTAAGAAGAATTAATGTTAGGGAGGAAGAGCAATTGGAGTTTGCTAGGCCTTATAATCAGCTTTTGGCCCACAATTACTCGAGGCCCTCATGTAATTGTGGCTCGAGGCTTACCACATGTGGCAACCCAGAGAGCAACTTTCTGGGATCGTATGGTCAAGAAGGTTATTAAGCATCTTGATGGAAGGGGAAAACAAAAAAAGCATATTTCTATTTAGGTAGTCAAACACTGCATTGGAACTTCTTTAGTTGAAATTGTCAAAATCTTCCCAATAACACCTCCGTAGTTAGGAGATGATTGCACCCTAAATGAAAGGTGTGTGGTCCCTGACAGACTATAAAGCACAGGTACGGGTACGAGTAATGGTACTGGTACGATATGGGTACGTCGATACGGTAAAATTCAAAAAAAATAGGGTACGGGTACGGCTTGGAACACTTGTAAAAAAATATTTATTTTTAATTTAGAATAATGTAACAAATAATTAAATGGTTTAATTTGTTAAGGTCCAACCTATAATTAACATTTAATGCCAAAAGGAAAAGGATAAATCAAAATTAAATATCAATATATTAAACAACTTACAAACCATAGTTTAATTTTAAAATCATGCTAAGCATAAAACAAAAACTGAAAAAGAAATCTAATGAAATGAGTTTTATCTCTGTAGTAGAAGGAAAATATTGTTTCAACTGAGGTACGGTACGGCTTGGATATATACTAGGTACGTCTGGGTACGTCAAAATTTAAGAAGAAAAAACTTGGATACGTGTTTCGTGTACCCGGTACGTATGCAGAAGTACCATACGAGGTACGGTACGTCGGTAAGTACCGGGTATGGGTACGGCATGTTTTTCGAAGTACCCATGCTTCATAGCTGACAGACAACCTTTTTGTGAAATAGTCATGAAAAATTCCTAAACATCCAAGACCTCTCTGGCATGTTGTGATCAAGAGAAACCACAATCTTCAAGAAACCAGTCTGGACTTTGGGTTCTAGACATGTTGACCCCAAGAAAGCCATTTCCCAGGGATATACCAAATTCCATCTTCATATTCATCTAAAGCTAAAAAAAATTTAAAAAGGCTCTTTGAATCTTCAATTTGTGCTAAGCCAATATCCTGTCAATTGTCAAAGACCTAACCGGTTCTTTCATTATGAAGTAACTAGATAACAGTATTTCAGCCAACAAAGGGGCAATTCAAGCTCCACATCCAAATTTACTCATGGTTATATTTTTAAAATTATAACTTTAACACCTTAATGACCACACAAGCATCAAATGATAACCCTATAAATTATTCCTATAATCACAAATTCATCACTAAACTGAACCCAAACTTTGTAGCATAAAGAATTAATCTCTCATGAAACCCAAATCAACTAATCAAACCTGCGACTACCCACATTCTCTCACTGCGAAAACTCCTCTCACAGTCTCGCTCCATGCCATCAACAAAATGCAAATATCAAACAGTATATACACACACAAAAAGCATCAATCTTTACCTCCTTCTGTTTAAGCGAATTGGATTTCGAACTCCAAACTCTCGGGGGAGAGATTTCGACAACCTCAGGGTCCATATACGACGAACTACTCCCAGGAAAAACCCTTTTCCTGCGCCGATTGACAATCAAAATTGAATACATACATCGATATATATATAGAGAGAGAGAGAGAGGGGGGAAAAAAATAGATAGAGAGAGAGAGAAAGAGGAGAGAGAATCACTTGGATTTCTGATGGATGTAACTGGGGAGAGGTGGGGACTCCATGGATGAGGAAACCTAGGGCTCCGTTTCGATCGCTTTCAGCGACGAAACCCAAAATCGGAAACGCAAACGTTCTTTCTACGTCTCCAGCGCGAACTCTTGTTACATTAGAGAAAGTGTGTGGTGTTTGTGTTTTGTTGGGGTGTGTTTGTGTGTTTGATGAGTGAGAAAATGAGAATTTATTCACGGGGAGAGAGAGGGAATCTTTGCCCTTTTTTTCTTTGTTCCTTTCTTTATTGATCGCTTCGCGCCTAGTTAAGTAGATCGTCAAGGATTGGGAGAGTGGATGGTGATTTCACTACACACCCTCGCTTGCTCAAAAATCACGCCAGAGCCATTGTGTTGTTATGGGAAATATAAATGTTTCGTTTCAAAGAGTGGTGGGTTGATTTCTTAATTATTTTAATTTGGAATTAAAATGTTTTATTTGGATTGCGTTTTTAAGTTTTTTTATTTTTGTAAAAAAAAAATAAAATGACAAATTATTTATATGTCCTTTTTGAAAAATATGTATTCTATTTAATCCTAAAACCTTTTAGATAAACTTAAAAATCCTATATTTATTTATCTTTTCCTCTTTTCCTACAACTTACTTCTTTTCTTTCTCTCTTTTTTTTTGATATCGGCGATGACAATGATGACAGCCACGTCTTCCTTTTTTTCTTTCTCTTTATAATCTACAGTCACTGGCGACCGGTGACGACTATTAATTGGAATTCACGAGCAACCACTGAGTACCAACTCCTTACTTCGTACTCACCGACAACGAAAGAGATAAGTTTCTAACGAAGAAGATGAGTAGATCTACATTGAATCTGAGTAGATCTACGTTAGATCCACGTTAGATCCGGCTATATCTAAACCAAAAAATAGTTGTTGGAGTACAAACATCTCTCTATATCTGTCTCTTTCCTTTAATCTCTTAGTTTTAATACTTTTTTTTGTACTACACACTTCTATTTTACTGCTATAATGGATAAAATTTTCAAATTCTAAACAACTTGTTTTTTAATTTTAATTATAGATGGTGAAAACTGTAAAATTTTACAATTTCATTTTTTTTTAAATGAATCATTCTTTATAATTGAGAAATTTTACAGTTTCATAACATGTTTTTTAATTTGATTAATAAGGATAAATACTTAATAGAATCATACTTTGAAACTGTAACATTTTACAGTTTCAAAACTTATTTTTCAGCTTGATCAATATTAGAAATTATTTGCTTAAACCCTCTAAAAATTGAAAATAACATATGTTTTTTTTCATTATTACTGTTTGTTGTTCTTAATTTGTTTTCTTTTCTTTTATTTTTTAAATTTATCAATATTTAGCACATTTTACTATGTTTTTCACTTTAATTTGTCAATTTATTCTTCTTTTCTTTGTCGGCAATATTCTAAACATTCCGGTGAGTCTCCGGTGATATTTTTGACGTCTAACGAACATTCTAGACATTTCAACGACTTCCGGTGACGTTCAAAATATTCCGCTGATACTCCTGCTAACTTTCGGTGATATTCCGATAACTTCTCGATGATGTTAAACGTTCCGGTGAGTCTCCGATGACCATCTAATAGGAGTGACAGTAATGGGATGTAACGGCATCTTTAAAAGAAATGTATTTAAAAATAGGATTTTTTTGGTAACAAATAAAAATATATAGGACTAATTAGTGTAAGTGTTTTGTTTTAAAACTAAATGGATTTTGAACTTTGTGTATAGGACATATCAGTAAGTTTTCTAAAATGAAATGATTATGGTTTAGATGTGACATTTTATCTTATTAACTTTTTAGTCTATTTTATCTTTTTTGTGACTATTTTAACTCGGTCACCCCATGCCAAATAAGGGCCAAACAAGTGAGACAATGAATAATTATTTGTACCGCCTAGGCGGTAGCGCAGTTGGCTTGAAGGAAGAGCCTCAAGGTGCTGCTTCGCAACAAATTAGTGTGGGTTCGACTCTCCTTCACTGCGTGAGTCTTGATTTAAATAGGGCTTGTGTTGAGGGGTATGTGCAAGCTCCTATGTTGTAGTCTCTCATCCATAACGGATAATAGGACACCTTGGTGATCTTGTCATGGGTTCTACCTTGGACTTACATAAGAATGTGAGGATTTTCTATAACAAAAAATAATAATTATTATTATTTATATTTTCATGATAGTGCAATTTTATTAGGAAAATTATCCAATGCTCCTAAAGCATATGTTTGTAGTGCTTTAAAGTAGTAATTATTAGTCTAAATTATGGAATCTATCACTTTTGTGTTAGAGTTATAAGAGATAACTGATGATGTGTCAAATTATTAAATGGAAAGAAGCAATACTCCAAGAGTGTTGAATAATTTCCCACTTTGCTATGTGTAGACACCCCATTTTTGACCGACCTTAAGACTCAGACGTCATCGATTGAATGCTTGGTGATTGCGCATGCTGTGCTCGTTTCGAGGTTCCAGAGTTTTCGGCTGAGTGCCTTACCTCCAGGCCTCTGAACTCTTTGTGTTTTGGCTCGGTTTGCGGACCAAGCCTTGTTTTCCTTGCTTGAGGGAATGAGAGGTCTTGTGGACCACTCTTTTGTGGTCGTAGACCACTTTTCCCGTTTGGAGACTAGTTTTCGATTTTTTGAGCCTTCGGCCGCGCGCCTTGTCTTGGGACAGCTTAACGTTCTCCATTTGGCGTGGTTTTTGAACCACACATTGTTGCCTTGGCCTAGAGGGCCACTGTGGTCTGGGAGACCACTTTTGTGGTCGTAAACCACTTTTGGTGCTCGTAGACTAGTTTTCGGGTCTCCCGGCTGCGTGCCTTGCCTCCCGGACTTTCGTCTTGCATCCGTTTTGGTTTGTTTTTGGTGCAAACCTTGTTTAGATGGTACAAGGGTGGGAGACCAGTTCTTCCCCTTGGATACCACTTTTCTTCCCGCCAGCCAGTTTTCTGGTCGGGAAACTGATTTTCTTGGTCTTTAGGCCACCTTTTCTGGTCGACCACCACACCACCACCTTGGTCTCATGCTGCAGACCACCACTCCCACCTGGCCGACCACTTTTTGCCTTGGCCGACCACTTCCACTGTTCGACCGACCAGTAGAAATAGCTTGGCTGCTTTTCACCAGCTTCCTGAAGATATTTTCTTTACAGCTGGCACAGCTGGAAGACACCAGAACCATCCTCCATACACGTATATAGAGAAGGGCCTTGGACCCTTAGCTTCTTTAAGAAGCTTGAGCTTTTGTTCTCTATAAAATGGAGGCTCCCCCTCCTTCCTCCAGGTTCAGAAAAAGTTCCATGAGCTATACATACAATCTATATCTATACATCTTGATTTCTCTCTTGTTTTGTGCCTTAAAGTGTTATTTCTTCATACTTTAACACACAAACACACACTCAAACACCATCATTTTGTTGCTGAGATGCTTAGGAGCTAGTTTTGAGGTTTTTGGTTTGGTTTAAGCTTGGAAAACCTGCTGGAGTTGTGGTTTTGAAAATGGTCTTCAAGGGTGAGCTTCTAACCCTTAAATCCCTTGATTTTGCTTAAGCTTTTAGGCCTATTTGCATGCTGATTTAAGCTTAACTCTTAACTACAAAAAGTTCTATTTTTTCATGCTTAAATTGTTTGTTTAAGGTCACTTTTGTGTTGGGGGTAGTCTGCCCTCTCTTAGGCCTTGTTAGGCCTTGTTGTGAGCCGTCCCTTTAGGCTTTTGTTCTAGCCTTTGCATGACCTTTCTACCACTGAAATCCAGAGGATTTTCAGTGGTGGAAAGGTTGTTTTGGGGTCCTAAATAGGAGAGGGTCATCCCCTCTCCTTGTGTCTTCAATACTTGTTTCGTTAGCCTCATGTGTGAGCATGTTTGTTAAGCTTATGTTGGCCATATCTTAGCATGTATTTGGGCTTATTTTGCTGTGGCATACCACTATTTTTACTTGGTTTTGTCACTCCATGCATGCCTAATACACTTGTAGTGTAAATCTCATAAACTAGTCTTGTATGCGTCATGAGGTAGCATGTCATTCTAGCTTGTTTTGTTTCCATTTCAGCATGTTTTTGGTGATGATTTGCCATGTCATACCTCTGTTAAGGTTTGGTTTGGTTGGCCCTTGCATGCTCCATGCACTTGTAGTGCATTTCCATGAACTAGCCTAATGTGTATCATGCTTTAACATGTCATTCTAGCATACTTTTGGCTTAACTCTAAGAAGCTTTTGTCCATATTTTAGCATGCTCTAGCTATAATTTGTGTTGTTTTGGTCATGCATGCCATGCTTTGTATAGCTATAATGCATTCTAGCTTGTTAGCTTTGTGCATCAAGTCCACTAGCATGCATTACTTAGACTATTTGAATGATTTGGCATCATTTATAATGTGATTTCAATCCATGTTTCATGGTCATGCACTTGCATTCTTTACTCTTTTAATGCGTTGGAGGGCTTTCCCCTTTATGCCTTAACATGGGTCATTGCGTATGCCTTCATGCCTAAGCTTGCGAGCCATCATTTCAATGTGTTTTTGGGGTTATTTTGCCATGATAAAACTCTGATTTTTATTGGTTAAGTCATCTCATGCTTGGTCTTAATAGGTGTAGTGTAATCCACCTTATTTGTCTTGCATTCATCATGCCTTATGCCCTTCATGCTAGCTTGTTTTGGCTTCCTTCCATACATGTTTTAGTATCATTTTGACATGTTATAGGACTGTTTTGGGTTGCCTTTGCCATATGCTTCATGCTTTGTATAGCTGTAGTGCAATTAGCCTTGCTAGCTTTGTGTTTTGATGACTCATGCATGTTATCTTTGAGCTATTTAGATGATTTGGCATCATTTAATACTTCATTTCAGAGCATTTAGCATTGCCATGTTCCCACTTCATTCACCCTTTGAGTGCCTCTAAGGGTTGTGCATTGTTGCCTTGCTTGTGGCCTAACATGTATGCCATCTTGCCTAGGTCCTCGAGCCTCTATCTTAGCATATTTTGGTCTTTGTTTAGACCTAATTAAGCTCTGTCCATGGTTGGTTCATGCACTTGTGCCATGTATTGCATGCCCCCGTTGTAGTCCTTTTTACTAGCTTCATGCTTTAAGGACCTTTGCATGCTATGCTTGCTTTGTTTGAATGATTTGGCATCATTTCATACCTTATTTCAGTGCATTTAGTGTTGTCACACTTCCATGCTTATCACTCCTTGAGCACCCTTGCGGGTTGTGCTCTTAGGCCTACTTGATAGGTCAAGGCATGTGCATGTTTGCCTTGCCCTTTTGTGCCTTTGTTTTGGT